TCGTTCTTGTCGATAACGAGATATCGCCCGATAATCGGATGAAACCACACACATTACAAGGAGTTATAATACTCTGCTCAGTACTTGATGGTGCGATTTTTATATACTTATTTTATATTATTTGCAAACTGAAAATTGGTATTTGCTGTATGTAAAGTTTATGGCTGAGGTAAAGTCTTAGATTTCTGGGTAATATTATCTCTTGAAAAAATGTTTTACACTACTTTTTAAGATGTTATTTTGATTTTAAATATCTGACATATACATCTGTTTTAGATTTGCTACCTATGTACTTACAAAAACATTTATTGATCATGAAAAAGATTATGAATCAAAGTAGACCATCACTGAAATAAAAAGCACAGTTTAAAGACAATCACATCTTCATTGCTTGGACCTATAGTTTTTCTTTCTTAAAATCTTCAGTTAGCTTATAACGCTTTTTACTTTTGAGAAGTTATTTGCATACAAATTCCTATACATTAATCATTACATGTTAATAAATGTTTACATATATTTTTAGACTATAACTTATTTTTATAAATGCTAATTCTAATTCCAAGTCTCATATGCAAAGAATAAAGTAAATTTAAAAGTTAAATCATATGGATTAGCTCACATGTATAAGATAAAAATTCATTTTTCATAATTCTTCCGAAAATTTTTATGTATTTTATTTATTGATTAAATCTGTGTAGAAATCATTTACATAACTGCAGAACTATAATAATTTCCATGAACAAAGTAATTTAAATATAAATGAAAATAAGCAATGCATGAAAATATTTTTATTAGGAAATATATGTACATACATATATAAATGGACAATATGACACTAAAAATATGGCAATAAAATGACATGACCAAAAAAAAAATGACATTAAAAATCTAAAAATTATAAAAATCTATTAAAAAGTACTATAAGTTGAAAACGATACGACTTCTCCAGAGAATTCAGTAAAGTATACAATTTTTATTTCTTGCTGACCTACTGCAATTCTACCGAATAATTTGCTCACTTGTGTTATAAAAAATCACAACTATAGTATGGATTTCTTTTTCACTTCTATTCTTCTATTCTTCTATTAAAAATGCATGCAAAACTGAATTTAAATAATTAAAATCGATAGTGTTGAGTAAATTATACAAAAATAAAAATAATTTTAAAAAGTGTTTACAAAAGTACCATCCATGCATATAGCTTTTATCGTGTTAGCAGTAAGTAATAAATAAAACTACGTTACAGCATTACACTCTAAAGCAAATTTACAGATACCTTAAAAAAAGAGCAAAACTACTTTTTATTACATCCTTCAATTTTTTACACATAAATCTAACTATAAGACTATAATTTATAATGCATAAGATATTTCTATTAAGAATATATATATATATTTAAACAAATTTAAATTTAAATTTTAACAAACACGTATAAAAGTAAAAAAGCAAAAAAGCAAATTTAAAGAAAAAAAAAAAAAAAAAAATAGCCAAAATAATTTTTAAAAAAATTTTAAAATATGTGAAAACATATAAAAGATTTAATTCTCGAACTAATCTACAATATCATTTAAATTCAGAAGCATAAGCAAATCAAGTGCAAAACCAATCCATGAAAATAAATTCACTAATTTAGCAAATTAAAATTAATCCAAACAATTTTTTTAAAAATGCATAAGTGAATGACTGTTGAGTAGGCAGGAGACAGACTTATCAAGGGGAAGTTGCCTCCAAACCTAACTCTCCAATCATTCAATTCGTGTTTCGTCATTCATGCAGGCAAGGGTAAAAGTCAAAACCAAGAGTAAAAAGTGAAGAATGTCCAAAAAGAAATACCAATAAAGTGGTACCTTTAGAAATTAGCATTTAAGAATTAAAGTTCTAAAAGGAAAATACTAATGAAGTCTTTTGAGAAACAAGCAAGTAAAGTCAAGTATTAAATTAAACTTTTTTAAAAAATTAAATTTTTTTTAAATTAATTTTTTATAAAAAATAATCTAGAAACCAATGTATTTTAGAAACCCTTGTCTACAGAAACCTCCCCGACACGAATATGCATATCAATAAAAAGAAACTAAAAAAGAATTAGACATAATCCATATAAACCAATAAGAAACAAAAAGAACTAATTCACAATTTTTAAAAAACAAATATATACTTAAAAATATAATTTCATATTTAGAAAATACTTAAATACTACATAAAAATTTTAAAAAATACTTAAAGCAAGTAAATAGTAAGTTTTAATTCTAACTTACCTACTATATGAGTGTTGGGGTCTGCAAAAGTGTTTTAAAGAGAAGTAAGTGTGTTCTTCAAATTATATAGATGGCGCTTATGTAGGTAAAGTTGAGTGTCAAACTGCTATCTTTGTTATATTAAAAATTTTTTGCAAACATTAATATTAAAATTAAAATACATAAAAATAAATCTAGAAAAAATTAAATTAAAAATTAAAAATCCTAAAGGTATGTAATTATCAATTATTTAGGGAGTTAAGTAGCTGAGCCAATCAAGAGATGTAAGTTTGCTTGAAGTAAAATAAAATTAAGTGGTATTGTGAATTAAAAAATGTAAACTGTTTGTAATGTGAAATGTGTGTTCTGTTGAAAAATTGTGTAAATATTGTAAATAACGTTAAGTGAAAAAAATTTTTGTGTGAAAATTGCAAATAATTAAAGTAATTAAGTAAAACTGAAATGTTTTAAAATTAAAGTTTTAAAGTAAAATTAAAAATGTCTAAAAATATTCCCAAAATTTTTTGAAACGAAGTCCTTAAAAAACCTCTAAAAATTTTTTCCAGAAATTTCCCAAAAATTCCTTAAGGAAGTTAATTAAAAGTTAATTAAAAATTATATTTAATGAAAGAAAATATTAAAAGTTTAATGAACTTGATTTCAATTGGTATATCAAAACTTAACTAAATACTGGCTAAAGTATGGAAAATTAGAAGAAGAAGATTAAAATCTTCACTCAGTTCGGGCTATAATTGAGACTTTTGAAAAGAGTTGGCCCTTTATTAGTAAAAGAAAAGAATCCAGTATTGATTAAATATACATATTTGCAAATTTATTTACAATAAAAATTTACAAGCTAATTTCTTTACTCTTCTATATCCTTCATTACCCTCCAGCTAAGGTTTAAGGTAATGTTATCATATCAAAAGGAGCCAAAAAATTATAAAGTAAAGTCAATGCCTGCCTTTTTAATATATAAATTAATAAATTTTGGTGGTACTTGGTTATCAACTTGAACATTAATTAGCTTTATTATTATGTTTTAAAAGCGAACTTACTTTTGGCAAAGGAGGTGCATCCATTGTCACGACTGTTCTCGCTTGAAATGGCGAGTTTCAGCAAACATGTTCGGGCACTCTTTCTCGACAAGTGGTCATTCTGTCTCTCTAATTCATGTCGACATTGTCATAATTGCAGGTGGTGAAACATATTCTGTTACCAAGATAGTAAACCTGCGTTGTTTAACGCGAAACGGAGCAAAAACTGCTCATTTATTGCAATTTTTTGTACATATTTACTGTGATTTTAAATGTATTTAATTTTTACAAGAGTTCTTTTTAAAATTGTTTGTGCGTTAAACTTTCTTAATTTTTCCTCACCCTTTTTGATTTTGAAGTCATCTCCATGTGTAATTTTTACACTTAGTTTTTACGAGATAGCTTTTACTACTTTAATATTGCTTCTAGTTGTTACATGATTTTACATTTTTGCTAAGGAACTGTAGTGTCAAATATATTTTTTAGCATTAGCTTTTTAACATTTTACATTTTTGCTAAGGAACTGTAGTGTCAAATATATTTTTTAGCATTAGCTTTTTAACATTTTACATTTTTGCTAAGGAACTGTAGTGTCAAATATATTTTTTAGCATTAGCTTTTTAACATTTTACATTTTTGCTAAGGAACTGTAGTGTCAAATGTATTTTTCAGCATTAGCTTTTTAACATTCCCCTTACTTAATAAAATTTTTAAAATTTTGCAGCTCAACGCGCAGACCACTAAGGTCTCTCTAATTCATGTTGTCTTGCTACTTTCGTGTATATATATATATCTTCCTACACTGCATCATTTCCCAATTTATTCATGTCGTATAATCTTCATAAATGTAGGTACTTACATAAACGCTTTAGACAAACACAAGACATCGAAATCGAACTAACACTGAGAACCATATCTTTTTGACATCTCTTCCAGGCTATTTTTTGATTCCGTTACACATTCCTGCTTTGCTTCCTGTCCAGCTAAAATGGCTCCGCTCACCTCTCTATTTCGTCAATTAAAATATTATAATCCTAGTGTAGAATTGGCAAAGATGTGATGCAGGCGCGTGCAAACATTTTACTCCCAGTAGTATGTATAATTCGTAATCAAAACGTGTTTCCCAAGAATTGTTTTATCCAGAAATAAAATTTGTTTCTACACGACGGCTACATTTGACTTCAATTACGTAGTTATGAGTCTCAGTCATCTACAATATCAGCCATGATTAAAATTATCAAGGTTGTTCCTTATTGAAATCATTATACTATTTATTTAAGAGTCGACAAGATTCTATGAAGTTATATGTGCCTTTCCGTTCATATACAAAATTATAAAATGTGTTTTCTTTGTTACATATATAGGTACAGTTATAAAATAATAATTTTGCGATCAATATTAATATTATTGCATTATAAAATTACTGTTCCATGACTATGTATATGTGTAAATATTTATAATTTTTTATTATATAGAAAATGTTTTATTATTTATTGTTTATATTCGCAGGCATTTTTGTAGAAAAATAATAAAAATAAATGCATCTTTTGAATGTGCTTAATTAATCATTTAAATTTATTAATTAAATTATCAATAAATTTAACTGATTAATTTGATTTATACTGAATAATAAGTAGTGATGAAATATAATTATACAGTGTTAATAAAACAGTATTTCACGTCAAATCAGTTTTATTTATTTATTTATTTATTTATTTTTTCCTTCCAGAGGCTACAGTGATGAGGCTACACAGCTGTACCATAGCTGGTGTGGCGACACTTCTTCTATGTCTAATAGTGCCAATTCAAAGTCGGAAATTGCATCACAACAAAGAATCTAAACATGGCCATGTAGAGAGGTAAAGGAAATTCTGTTTTCTTTGTTGCGACAGGAAAGCAATGCTCCGGTGAATATTGCCAATAATGTGATGTTAGAATACTATACTTTAGATAAAACTAAATAAATAAATAAATTTAATTAGACTTAAAGAAAAACATTTATGTTGGGATTCAAGCTATTCCATATAGTTTAATTAGAAAGTATTATTTCATTTCTAGTAAATGAACCGAGGAGGTAACATGCATTAATTCGGAGATTAAATTTCAAAATTCCAACGGTGCTCTTGATGAATAATATTCCCATACAGAAATTAACTAATTGAAAAAACAGAATAGTAATTAAAACCCAGTAAATATTAACTAAACTGCATCACTTGCAGAAATAAACTGAAACTAAAATCTCAAGATTCCTCTGAGACTGCCTGGTACTAGAATATCTAGATTTTAGTAAGAGCAGCTTACTTATTATTTGACTTTAGAGATTTGAGATCTAACTTGCTAACTAGAATGGCAGTGATGATTAATGAATTAAAGGATTATGCACCATTGTAAAACGTCAGTTCGTTTCCTATCATCCAAGGTGATTGTACTGCAAGGTTTGTTCTTCCGTAACATCACTGACTCATAATAGTCTTGTTCGATGCAATTCCTTATTTCCTTGTGTTGTCATTTGCCCTACTTCTGTAAGTAACGTCATTGAACTCGAGCTTTGAAAAAAGCCCAACGTGCTGACTTTGCTATGATCCGCTACCGATTAAATCAACTGACAAATTGAGCTCAGGTATTGAGGCTTGTTTAACTTACTTACTTATTACTTCTGGTTTACTAATTTCTACATAACTACGTTTCAAAATTTGAAATCTTCAGCATCTTCACAAATACGAACTATAAATTCACATGCTTTTGAAGCAAAGTAAGGAAATTATAGAAATACTCAGAACAAAGCGCCGTCCAGACCGGAAAGTAGTTTAGTGACTCTGATTGCCGTACCGAAGAGCCCGAGTTCAAATCCCGGAGAAGGCACAGATGTAATGTTTTCCGTACCTTCATAGGAAGCAACGGTAGCCCACCTATTAGGTGCCTTGAAAATGAAGAGAATTTTCTTTTGGCCTTAGTATTGGCCAATGCCTATAAACGGCCAACTGCCAATGGGAAGGGGGCAAACATAAAATCTGAAAACCTTCAGATTTTAAATACGCCCAAAAGGGGCGTTTTTTTTTTTTTTTTTTTTTTTAACGTTTTATGTGTTACCTTTATTTATTCAATTTCATGTTCTTCGCATGTAAACCATAAAATTCAATTCAACAGCAATATCACAAATAATAATAATAATACATCACATTAAAGAATAAAAGTGATTCTCGCATAAAGACCATGTTGCCCAAGTTTTTCTTATTTTTATTTATATCTCATACATAAACATATTATACTGAAATATAATCCAAGTAAAATTAATCAGGAAATCCGAGAAAAAGAATAAACTAATCTTGTAAGCAAAAAATATCCGTTATATTCCAAATTCAAAATATTTGTTTACATCAGGGCTTCTTAAACTGTGGGAGGGGGGTCGCCAAAAATTGTAGCAGTTTTCATATTTCTTTAACGTATTATAATAATTTCGCAGTTACCAAATATATTTACACAATGCATCTGAAAATAGATAAAGATAAGACAATACAGACAAAAAAAAAAAAAAAAAAAAAAAAAAAAAAAAAAAAACTGAAATTTTTCAGATTTTAAATTACGTCCAAAGGGGCGTTTTTTTAACGTTTTGAGTGTTACCTTTATTTATTAAATATCATGTTCTTTGCACTTAAACCATAAAATTCAGTTCAAGAGCAATATCGCAAAATAATGTTAAATTAAGCATATCTTTAGAATTTCCGATATACACAGTCTCGCGAGCTGGAGATAAAAGTATTTTTTTTCTATATAACGTTGCCATTTCTCGCTTTTAAAGCATTGAGTTTGTAAATCAAAAATTCGTTAAAGTTTTACAAAATATAAAATCTATAAAAACAAATTCCAAATTTGGGATTTCAGATGCCCATATTAGCAGTAGGATTTCGTCATTCAAAATTCGTGGCTCTATGTACCATTGTTTTATCACAATGCGAGAAATAGACAATCATTTATGCAGATTTTTCATTATTTAATTTCTTCAAATATAATGCAGGACTCTAACATTTTGTGGCAACAGTTTGAAAAGTGAACCGACGTTTATGAGTCCGACGCAAAATGCCAAAACGAAAGCAATAGTCCTTCGGGACTGAAATCCCTTTGGACTAAAAAAAACAAAAAAAAAAAAAAAAAAAAAAAAAAAAACGAAAACGTTTCGACGCATTCTTTTTATAATATAAATGCTCATTTTCCTTGCTTTGCACGTTACGCTGTTATTTCGTCTGTTACTTATTTAAAATGTTCACATTGTTCTGTGTCTTAAAATTAGAAATTAAAATTAATGACCTAAAACTGCAATAGTATATTACAGTACAAGTGAAAACACAGACTGTTTTACTTACGCGTGTGTCGGATTTGCGCAATACTTATGGGGTCCCACAAACTTTTTGTAAATATTATGGGGTCCTGGGGCTCGCAAAAAACTCTCAGTGATAAAAAGGGGTCACGACTGAAAAACGTTTAAGAAACCCTGATTTACATAATCATTTATCACAAGGCCTGCCGTGAAAAAGATATCAGGCGATAGCAAACGCACGAACGCCAGAGATCACATGATCATTTTATTTTCAACAATTTAATAGTGAATCGACGCAAAAGGCCAAAACGAAATTAATAGCCCTTCTGGGCAAATTGTCCCTTTGAGCTAAAAAACAACTTAGAGCAAAAGTTAGTAAATTAAACCTGTTTAAATAACAGCCCGTAAGAAAAGTGATAAAAATTACTTTTTAAGTAAAACTAAATTTAAATTTGTTTAATAGTACAAATAAGAAATTCTGTAGTTTGTTAATTTATAAAATTTACTTTTAGTTGATATAAAATTTCGCAGCATGAAAGAATCATTGTAGAAGAAATTCTTTAATCACGGGAATCAACATTTATTTGTCAAATGTTGTAAATAGAGATGGAAATTTCAAATCATCGAATCCCACAAATCTTACAAAAGACTTAAGATTTGAAAATTCAAATCTTCGCCTTTTTTTTTTTTTTTTTTTTTCTTCATTAGCGGAAACATTCGAATTCCAAACTTAAAAGCCATTAAATGTTTTAACTAAATAGTTTGAAAGAATTTGTTTTATTGAGTTCACTAGCACTGTTCACTGAAAAAAGAACGCAACGGTTAAAACTTCAGTGAACCTTGTCTAATAGTGCTGAATCTCCAGACAGTTCTGAGTAACCTTTAATGCTCTGCAGAGAATTTAGCGCTCTGTGAATTTAGCGCACAGATAAACGCACAGTTGAGTTTATCTGTGCTAACATTTCAACTAATCCTCCATCCGCTAGGTACTTGGACTGTTATTTTGGGGGGGGGGAGGTAAGTCATGGAATTACATTGGGGAAGTATTCTTCAAGTTTTTAAGTTTTAATTATGTACCTCATTTATTATCTTTTAATTAACATCGGTTTATTTTTAAAAGCTATGATCTCAAATTTGTTTTTCATTCAAGACAAATATAAGTTTCATTAAGAACTTTTAGTAAGAAGAAAAATATTTTTTCCTTTCTCTTATTATTAATATTTTTACATGAAGAATTTGAGTGATTCGAGATGTACAACGATTCAGAAATTTGAGAACCGTTTATGGTCCAGATTCCATTACTGATTTGAGAAAATTTAGGATTCGTTCCATCTCTAGTTGTAAATATATTATTATATGAATCTGAGCAGATATTTTTTATGCATATTATTGAATTATTTCTAGTCTGGATGTTTAAATTTTTATTCTAAATTAAGTTTTTGAGCTAATTTTAAGGGATTTTATTCTTTTTTTTTTTTGTTTGTGTGTGTGTGTATGTTTAGTTTATTTTGCTTATCTTATATCACATGGTACATTCATTTTTTCTTTCTTCTAGAAACCAAGAATCTAAAGAAGGTTCAGAGAGAAACAGTGATTTATATAATTTGTTAGCTAAATATGATGAGCAAGGTAAGAGATCATATCATATAAACTTGCATTTATATAATCACTTACTGTTGTGTTCTCTGTAGCAGGATTTCTTAGGTAGTGGCTAATAGGCCTGCTAGAAGCTATGAGAGTTGGCTTACAATTTAAGAATCTTTGGCTCATAACTTCTACAAATCCATGAAATATGTTGATATGATTTCTAAAATTTCAAGGGAAGAATTAAATGAATTTTATTTTATCGGATGGGCTAAAAAAAGTAGTTCTTGTAATTTTTATTCGTATATTATCTATATTATATATAGAGTCAGTTTACTTAAAAATAAAGCCTTTTTAAATTTTTATATATATTTTGGATACATGAAGGGCTATTTAAATGTAATATGTGTCATTTGATAGTTATGGGTTTGTGCATCAATCAGTATAGCGAAAATAAGTTAGTAATATGATCTCATAATGTGACAAAGAAACAACCATGTCTTATATTGAGAAGATACCCTAAATATGAGGCACCTAATTCTTAAAAATGAGAAATTTTCTTTACAAGTTTTTTCATGCTTGAAGAATGTGGTATTAACATATGTAAACTAGAAGCTATGAAGAAACTACAGAGTTTGTTTCAGACATAGCATAATTCACTGGTAGTTGCAATCTTATCATTTTAATTTCAATAAGTTTCAAAACAGGATTCTTTAGGAAAATTGTTCTAAAAAAATTAGTAAGATTGCAATGATTTTTTGGTTGATATTTCTAGATCGTGAATGACAGTTCGATTCTTCGTCAACTAATCGTCTAATTATTTAACCTTGAATACCTTTTCTCGCTTGTCTTACATATCTGAGTTCCTATTTTAAGGCAGTTTCAGTCTGCCGTTTTATTTACCTTCCTCCTTCAATAGCTGGACACTGGCTGGCATTGTGTCCATAATGGTTGAATCCATCAATTATTTAGCCATCTCATTACAATGAAGTTTTTTCATGGTGTTAGGTTAGGAAACAGACATATATTGCGCTCGAAAGAATGTTGATCCACACATAGTAAGCTTTATGCGGAAGCGGAACTCTTTGTTTCGAGATATCAGTTAGACTTTGCTAAGTACTTTTGTCACCCAAAGTGCACTTTTCTTTGCTAAAATATATTTTCGATTCAATTACCTTGCTATTGTTGAGTCCGTCGTCTTTCATTTTATCCGAGGATTTTTATTTATTTATTTATTTTTACTTAACTTATTGTGTTTAATGTGTTTATTGTCAATTTCTGCTGGAGGAAAAAAATTTAGTATTACGGAAACTCAAAATCACATTTTCAGATTTAACAGCATCAAACATTACAAATGTAGCAACTTCCGCATTTTCTGCAATTTAACCTAGCTGGATTGCTTATCAAATATACCTCAGTTTAATTCCAGCGGTGAATATTGAAAGGCGGTGAATGATGATTCTTTACCACCAGGATTTGGCGATTAGGTCCATAATCCCATGTTTTCTTCCTCCTTTCTGCATGCCTTCGTGGTGTAACGGTTAGCACACTCGGCGCATATTTCAGAGGTCCAGGTTCGAGTCCTGGAGAAGGCACTGCACATTTTTCACGTCTTCCACTTCAAAATAACCTAATGATTCTACAGTGATTTCTATATAACAGTAACTGCAACATTGTCAAATTTCTTGCTACTAGACAACCGCATTATTGACATTTTTGCCAGTCTTGCTATTTTCAGACTTCGGCTGTCCTTATTGCTTTTTACCTTTACCCGTCTGACACTTTTAAACCTTTGTTTATATGGCTAATATCCACCGCATATGTGTACAAGACAAGCAAGGATTTTTAACAAGCAAGACAAGCAAGGATTTTTGTTAGTTTTTAATATTTTTTTTTTTATTTTACATTAATTTGAGATGATGGACAAACGAAAACTGAATACGCTAATTATTAAATTAAAAATGAACGTTTAATAATTAAGTGAAATATGCGACCTCTGAACGTTTTAATAATTAAGTGAAATATGCAACGAATTGGATATCGGGTAAAAATACAATACATGAATCGAGGTGAAGCCAGAACTTCGTTCGAGATTGAAATAAGTTAAAAAATCAGAAAACACATGTCTCTTTAGAAGGTATCACATGAAAAAATTAAAATATGAAATTGTAGAGACATTAGGTTAATTGGAAGCAAAAGGTCTACCGGAACGCGAGGTTTTCAAATATTCTTTTCAACTAATAATTTTCCTGTGAATGAATGACCTTAAAAAATAGATGAAATATTAGCGAATTAATTCGTTTATGCTTTCGAAAGAAGCATTTGGAATGAATTGAAGATACAAATTAGAAAACAGAATTTCATCAAAAAGCGAGATTTTTAAAATAAAAGGATGAATAAATGGCATAGTATTAGCACAAAGTTTACAGAAAAGTTAATGAAGTAAATAAAAATTGTCTGCAGTATGCAATAAAAGAAAAAGAAGTCTCCCCAAGTCTATTACTTTTCAGAAATTAAAAATTTTCCGTGTTTTTCACACTGGCAGGACATTTTGGGGGCCGGGATTGCTGATTATTTCTCACATTAAAAAAAAAAAAATTAATAATTTCTTGGATAAATTTCACTTTTAATTTTTTAAAGAATCGAATAAAAATTTTATTCAAAAGACAGTTTAAAAGATTCTAATTTAACCTGTGTATAATATTGTTATTACAGCAAAGTTAGAGATAATCCATTTTTATTAGTCACTGTATACTTCCACAATTATTTTATTTATGACAGTTACGATTTTAAAGTAAATTTATATTTTAAAGGCTTTCGAATAAATGTACATCGAGATTTATGAGTCAAAAATAATATTTAATTATAAATTTAGACGCATTGTATAAATTCTTATTTTTCGAAAAATAAAATTCATCTCACCATTTTTTTCTCATATTATGACGGGTAGAAATCAGCAAGAAATTTTTTTAAAAACATTTAATAATCATATACGTTCTGACAACAAGAATGAAATCTCGTATTAAAAAAAAATTTTCGCTCTGAATCTTTATAAATTAATTTGAAACACTTCACTAAGTAAAAGAAGAAATACTACGTCAATGATTGTTCTAAAATAAATCAAATTTTAACAAATAATACTATTCAAATATAATATTGTATCAAAAAGCAAACATTTCAAATAACTTCCAGAATTTAAGAGATAAAGTATAACTGATAAATGGTTAAAATTTGACAAGGTATAGAAATGTATTGTGGACATTATAATAAAACGAAAACTGAAAAATTAGCAAATCTTTAGAAGATTTCATCGTCTGTATTAGATTTTATTTTGAATCTTTTAAATTAGAAGATTCGAAAAGAGTAACTAATGTTCTCCTAATATCTTTTTGGACACTATTTTTGATAATTTTGTATAAATTAGCAGTTGAATTTTCTATGTAAAATATTTCTTACTTAACAGCGTAATCAAATAAATAATATCATATATCGAATATGTTAATCGCTACGTTAAAAAGAACGCTATTTCGTTATCATTACATTAAGTTACAATAACGTTTATTTCAACACCGGATGTGAAAAGGAATTACTTAATAAATATTTCCGTTCATTTGTAAATGAGCTAAATTATTTAAAAAATAACTATACTCGAAATAAAACCACATGTATTTAGGTTTACTGCCGAGAGAGAACTTTTTTATTCTCTATAAACTTCATTTATTCTCTTTGATTGTCTTTTATTTTCGTTACATTTCTTTAGGGGCATTCATGTTCGAATTCTGTAGAAAAAAACCCTTACAGGAACAAGAGGTTTCAGTGGCGATTATTATCTTTTCTGTTGTGTTTGAATCCTTTCTAATTTTCTCTAGGAAGACAGATTACAAATGTGTGTTTTTTCGGTAATGAGCGCTTTTCGGGGAATTAAATGAAAGCCTTTATTCAAATACAATAAAGGTTTTAAAGCACAAACACAAGGATCTCGCCAGACAGTTTTTAAGCTCTTTTTAAATCAGTAAAGTGCGTGATTAGACCTTGGGAAGGAATCGAAACAAAAATGCTACGGCTGCAACCATTAAGTTGAAGTATAGAATATTTTGATATTTAAAATTATTAATTGCGATCTTTTTTTTAAATAATGCATAATTAACTTTTCCTTTATTTCTTTTCATTTGTCATTGGATTTCCTACTAGATGAATGTTATTCACTATCCTTCGCTTCCCAGAGAGGAAGAAATGAAAGCCGGTTAATTTCTTAAATCGCATTTAAAATAAATAAATAATTTATTTACAAGTAATGTGAGTGTATTTTAATTTTAATTCTCCCCCATTTTTCAAACCGTGTCTGGGAGATCCTGAATGTACTCCTCAGCGATGAATGCGTATCCGGAGGGCGACCAAACAAGAGATCACAAGACAGACGAAGGTCTGAACCGAAGAGCATCTGGGATGGGGAGTTGTCGGTAGTCTCGTGGACAACACTGCTGTAGGCCAGTATAAATAGAGGTAACTTCTGATCTCAATCCTGTTGGAAACAATCAGTGGGAGGTCATTAAGGATGATTCGATAAAACCTCTATACCGTGCCATAAGACGGTGGATGAAAAAGTGTCGTTCGGATTTTGTCTATTCCTGATAGTTTGCAGATTTCTTTAATTAGATCCGAAATAAAATTCCTTCCTTGATCGGAATAAAGTAAATAGGCATTCCGAACCTGGAAATCTAAAGCTCTATCACTACCGTGACAGCCTCTTGATGAAGGATTGAATACACTTCAGATCACTTTGCCAAGTGGCATGAAGATCCTGGCAGAGGTCCCAGAACATCAGAGGAGCTCTTACAATTTAACACAGCAGCTTCCCTGCCCTTCTTCGTTCTTTCCTGCCAGCACAGGCATCGCAAGATTCGCAGCAGATCGCGCAGATCGATTTTGTAGACTGAAGGGATTGCTTGCACGCACAACCGATGATAGCTTGATGAAATTTATTTTTCCAAAAACACTTTACAGTTTGGAACTTGTTACAAAAAAGTGTACAGCGTCTCTCAGTATGACAGAGGGCAGTCAGTTGTTACTACTTTAAACTACTAAGAATGTTCACCACAAAGCAATACAAAAGGCCTCAAATGCATAAACTCGCACTGTGATCTCTCAGTATTTTTAGCTAAAACTCTGAACTAAACTGAAAAGTGATACTCTCTCCTGTCTTATGTAGTTTTCCCCTGTTCGCTCAGAAATTTCCAGTACCTTCAATTGTTCGAAATTTCTGGAAGACACATACACAATTATATTTACTTTGAGCCGGATATAATACAAATGGGATCGGACCAGTTAGAGCTTCCAGAAATCGGATCAAAATGTCGCCGAATAGTCGCCAAGTTTGTTGGCGAATTTGATTATTTCTCGACAAACTTGACGACAAAAATTAGTAGTCAAAATCATCACTAGCTTCGCATTATCTTGCCAGTTTAACAACATATCCCTTTACCCGCAATGTTAAATGAACTGACTCCTCTAACCCTGTTCTTCCGATGATGCCTTGCACTCTGAGGCCTTTCTTGTTACATTACACAAGGGATACTTCAATTTACATTTATACAAAATTTGTAACAGTATGTTTCACTGGACATTTCACTTAATTTACATTTATACACTTTGTAATCATAATTAATAATAATACACAAAATGATAAAAGTACTTTAAATAGTTTGTAGCTCATCAAGTAATATATAAAGAATAGCTCATACCTGAATTTGGTAACCTATTGCTCCAGTTTTATTTTCAGTAATGATTTATGTTTTAACAGTTGCTCAGCTTGCTTACAGATTCTAATAATAGTTGTTTTATTTTTAGTAGACGAATGCCATAAAGCAGCTTTACATAAATGTGGCCAAACTTTCTTACGAGCACACAAATTATTGTCGTATCTGGACGACAGCATGGTGGCTTATAGAACAAAATGTGGTGTAAGGACGGTAAGTATCTTCATGTTGCAAAGTTATGTTAAAAAATGAAATATGTAATTTTGTCATTAGCTGTATTCAAACTTCTATTATTCTATTAACTATAATTATATTCTATAAATTATTTACTATTCTACACGTCTTTTGGTTATAGAAATGAAAGTACCGGTTCTTTACTAATTTGGGAGTGCCAATTTGAAAATGACATCTGACTTTCGTTTTCTGGTAGGTGAAGCGGAAATAGGAGTTTATAACAATTCGATTAACTACTGTTGAGCGTTTGACAGTGTCACAGTATAACGTAACAATATTTGTGGGAGTACTCAACTCTCATAAAAATAACTTAAGGTAACTTTAATGAGATATGAAAATAGAGCCTTCATAACCTCCGCCTCGCGGAGAAAAGGGGCACAATGACCCAAAGCGCGCAAAATCATAACTGAACATGAAAAACTGAAGCGCAAAGAGTGAAAAACGTTATCCTGTACTGGGAGCATTTCAGCTTAGTTACGTAACTAATTATTTATTGAAATTAAAAATTAAATGCATGGGTAACATATTTTTATCAGTGGTGTAAGGATTATGTTAATTTTATTAACAGTTAAATTTTGAGTTAAACTTCCTTTCCTATCGCTTCTTAATTTCAACTTACCACTTCCGGCCAGAACGTAGTTTTAGAATCACGTCTGAACGTAAATTGAGGAAGAGAGGTATCTAACCTCGAAGTTCTACTATCTTAGTGAGAGAGAACCAGAGATTCTGGTTAGGACGCGTTCGCCTTTTTAGGCTATTCTATCTTAAGCTATTATTACGCTCGGCCGTACTTTAGGCTCTTGATAGCTTCGCAGTCAATTAGCGTTAAGGGACCAACCCCGTTAGAATCTTTATAGCTTCGGCTATATCTCTTTAGTTAAGATTAGTTTAGTTCTTAGTCTCTTAAGTTCAAGCCCGAGTGTCGGCCTTATTGTACAACTCCAAGACGGAGTTCTGTTAAACTTTAGTTGGAATAATAAAGGGTTATTCCCCCTTCTCAATTTTTGTTTTCTATCTCACAAACTCAAGCGATTATAAGATTCTTCACATTCAACTGTAACTTAAGGTACATAGTGGAGAGTCTTACAGCGGAACTCAAAACACTGCTTCCTACGGTAGGAAAGCAACAGCAGAATATAATAGAAACATAAAACACGAACGCCTCACTTCATGAACAGCTGATATGAACAAGAAAAATTCTTGGAGAATGAAAAGTGTCTCCAGTTACGAATACTTAAATCGGCAGCATATGATTTTCAAAGACAGTTTAATGTAATCTGTGCCATATTAATACTCTGGGATTTATAGAAACATCATTTTAATATTTTCCATTACTTAACTGTCAATGAAAGCTTAGCAGAATGTAATTTACAGGATCATTCCCCGGGGGGGGTTGATGTAGAGAACTCTGCGAAGCTACTGGCTAGGATCTGTGCCTAGGCAGTCTCGGCCACAGGGGCATAAAATTTATGAACCCAGTGAGTATGGAATTTCCGGGAAGGTCACTTATTGGCCGGCCCGGTGGTCTGGCGAGTTCTAGGGCGGTGCGGCTCGAGTAGCCCGGGGGATAACGCCCTTGGGTTCGCTGGGTAATGTTCCACTGCGACGGACAGCTCGAGCGACTTGCAGGTAGGAAATTGCCGACCAGTGTCGCTTTAAGCGATGCGTCCTTCTCTCCAAGGTGCGAGGGCGGAGGTTGAACCTCTGTGCCTGGTTCTAAGGAGCGAAGGAACTCATTATGCGGTTCAGTCTCGCGGTGTGAGGAGGCCCTCTATGTCTTACTGGATCAGGAATTCGGCCTAGAAGAAATTATGTCTAGCTTGAGTTTCACGCAGATACTTCGCTTTGATATTGAGTCTCTAGGATTAAGCAAGTGCCATGTTAACAATGAAGACATGAAGACCATAAAAATGAGATCAACAAGAAATAATGACCATAACTTTGGAAGCAACAACAAGAACAAACAAACAAAAAAAAAAAAAAAAAAAAAAAAGGTGATTGTGAAAGAAATGTTTTCAGAAGAAGGGGAAGAAAGAAAAATTATCCTACTTTCCTAATCCTCGAAATTCGCGCAATATTGGGAAAGATGCAACGTTTTCGAGAAATGACATCACTCTGATAAAGCAGTAGCAAACTGTAACGTAAGTATTTTCAATGGCATAGTCATGTTTCACTTTCGAAACATTTTAAAACGTAGGTAACAGGCAAACCTTATTGGGCAAATTTTTAGTGAAACAGATGCCCAGTCAGTCTGAGTCAGAGTCGAGTGGCGCTTTTAGAGGTAAAGATTTAGTTTGGATTGGTTAAGTTTATTATGGCAAAGCACACTAGGGCTATCTGCCTAAGAGGAAGAATGCCTTCGTTGAGAATACCTTCCCTTCTAAGGGAAACTGGCTCTTATACACGTTACACGTGGGGAAAACCATGAAAGCGCCCATACTGCCAGCCCCTTAGCTTGGATTCGAACTCAAGTCGAAATTAGCAGTGTTCAGTGATTTTACTGCTGATGAGCTCTTTAAGACGAAAGAAATATGAGAGAAGGAAATATAACGACAGTTATCTGATGTTTTTATAAAAGCATACTCTCTTCTTCGTACACATGCAGCAAAATTAAATTAAAATTTCGCCTATTTTATCTGTTTAATTTTTTTTTTAATGTTTTTTATGTAATGATTGTCATTGGTTTTTGGTTATGAAAATGTGCACCAAATACTGTTGTAAAGTTTAAATGAACTCTCATCTGTGGTCCAAGAACGAATTAATATATTTTAAATAAATTCGTGTAGGAATATTGTTTCAGATTATAAGTATTTTGATTGATGAACAGCTTTCAGGAATTAATTAAATTCGTGAACCGAGATTTCAATGTATGTGTTTTAAAACATTTCTGCTGAGATGATAATAAAACTCATGTCGCATACATGCGTGAATAAGCCAAACAGATTTTACTTCATATGTGGAGAAGTTACGTTTAAGTCTAGAACCTGCCATTACTGTTGAAACCGGAAAAGCTTACTTCTTATATTCCGAATGCAAAGTTGCAGACCAGGACTGTGTGTGCTGCTTACGCGTGCTGCATCATTTGTTTCTGTATCCTTCATGCGTGGACATATAGAAAAGGTCGCCATTAGAATATGGAGTACCCATGGTGTGGCGAGAATCTACCATGCAGCAATGTTTTACAGCAGTTTATGTCTAGAAATGTTTCGAAGATGATACAGAGCAGCTCTTAAAATCCCAATATTTCCTCATCGTTAGCTGCCAGTGAACTATATAAAAAGAACACAGGCTGAATTAAATAAAATAATCAGAAACTTAAAAACTCGCAAAACATAAAGCTGAATTCTTGACTTCATGGCTACAATAATGGTGTCACCTGGCATATGATATAAGAATATAGCTTTTTGCTACAGACAAAGTGTCTACCATTTTCGAAAAAGAGGACTTGACTGTATGGACTGTATTCCATGGCATTGAAGATCGTTTTGCATTCATGAATATAGCATAAAAAAAGTTAGAAGTGTTTTTCCAAAAAATAAAACAGAACAGTGGAGACTTTTATTAACCCTTACAAGTTTTTCTCTGAAAGCAGTTTTGCTGCAAAACGGTAATGTTCTTCACTTGATACCCGTTGCTACATACAAAGGTGATCTAAGGAAATTTATGAGCACGCGGAAAGAATACATCAGTACCTACGTATGATAGATCTGGATGGCAAATTTGCTGTGGCGTTAAGTTTTGCAATGTTTATAAAAGGGTTACATATTGTTGTTTCTATGTGAGTGGGGCAGTGGTGCCATGGATTTACATTACAAAAAGAAGGACTGTCTTCCACGTACATCTTTCACATCTGGTAGGTACAAAAATGTGTTATTTTACAACTTCTTGTAGATCCAACGAAGATATTGTTCCCACCGCATCACACAGATACGCACATTTCATGTTGATTTGAAATATATCTAGAACTTTAGGAAGACATTTGCTGTAAGGTAGTTCGGTATTTCATGCTTAAGCAGCATATTTCCACGCATAAGTTTAAACACGTTTGATGCATATACTAGTTTACGCTATCAAAGGAGACCAAACTCTATAATGTACTAGCCAAAATATGCTCTTAAATATTAGAAAAAACGTCTAATAGCGCAATGGTCCACTTTTAGCTTGGATCATACTCAGATTTCTTCTGAGCGTGAACTCAACAAGGCGCTGATATTGTTCCTGAGGAATATTAGCCCAGACATAATTTCGTTCAGTTTGAATGGTGGCGTTTCCAAGCTTTGAAATGAAATTTCCAGTTTCTCTCGCAGATGGTAAATATGTATGAGATCAAAGCATTGAATTGACCATGGAAGCAATTGGGAATTCCTGATCATGCTCTTCAAACTAATTTGAGATCAATCGTGTAACGATGACAAGGCGCATTGTTCTGCTGAAAGTAACCATCTGCTTCAAGGAACGTTGCTGCCATAAACGATTATACATCATCAACGATATCGAGATCATCTGTAGTGCTAAGAGCTGTTTCCAAGCGTATTAAAGAACGTACAATACTTCAGAAAAATATTCCTCTGATCAGAATTCCATGGCCACCAGTTTGAAGAATTATCATTAGAATCCATAAATTCATTTTGTTTGCGATATATTCTTATTCTCTCGTGAGCACGCTGAAGCAGGAAACGAAATTCATCTGACCAAGCAATTTTTCTTCAATTGTTAGGGTTCCCATTTTGATGCTCCTAGATTCGTGACAACTTTGATTTCCTGTTTGTTTCTGGACGTTATGTCACTGGCAGATTAGTCAATGTTAAAAAAAAATGGCTTCTCTAATATTTTGTCCTTTTAGTGTATATTAAGACTTGAGACATTAAAAATCCTTTGCTATTTGTTGCTGAAATTTCAGAATCTAAAAGAAAATAATAGTTCCATATCTCTGATTATTGTAATATTATTTAATTTTCCTAAATTAAATATCGGGTTTAATTTCTCAGTATCTTGTAATAATTTTAATACTAAACTCAATTTCTGTGAAAAGGTTAAGTATTAAAAATATTTGCATAAATTCATTTTTTAAAATTTTTTTTAGGCTTTTTTTGACTGTTTGAAGACAACGAGAGAAAAATTTTGTAGCAAGCGTTATAAGCACTACGTCAACTATGAACCGGACTTCAGAAAGAGACTGACAGACGCCTTGTGGTCTTCCCGAATTTGCGTTTTGGGAATTAAAAGCTATCGATAAATGTGAGATTGCCAAAATAAAACATTATATTATAGTCTCTAATTGATTATATTGTAATGAATACAAAATGTAAAGTAACACTGAGAGAATAAATAAAAGATTCTGTGTATTACGTTAAAAATTCTGTTTCAGTTTCTTAATGCAAAGACATACAGTTTAATTATAGGCTTATCAAACATATTCTTAAGTCTTCGGCGGCTCCGAGATTAAGCATTTCTTTCTTCCCAAATATGGGCGATATCTGTCAGTCGCAAATCTGTAATGCAATCTGTGTTCGTTTGTATCCACTCCGCACCACACTTGGAATGCGAGCTGAGCTCATTGATCACCATCAAAAGCTGAATACACTAGTATGCGAAACTTAAGCGATTTTCCCAGTTTTGGCAAACTATTTGGCATAATTCCTAATTTTAATTTTCCATAATTCTAATTTGGCATAATTCCGCAAAACATTAACTGGGAGGCATGAAAGTCATACTACAAAGGTTCAATGTAGTACTCAAAAGATGAGGAAAGTAGTGTAGCAAAGAAAAAAAAATATTGCATACAATACAGATCGAATAAAAAAAGGCTTTCTTGACAGAATAGCGTTGGCACAAAAAACTGTTTGGTCAAGAGCGAGAAAAACAAACCAAAGAGCCTTGGTAAGGGATATGAGCTTCCCTAAGGGCAATGGCTGCGTTGCATCATCTATTGAGATCTAACACCAGATTATTTAACACATCGTACGAAAAGATTTCCCATTTTTCAAGGAGCATATGTTTCAGTTGTCTGGTGCTCTATGGAGGTAAGATAGTGTTGCCAGGGGTCTCCATAAAGTATCCCACATATAAAGAATTGAATTTAAATCAGGGCACCACCCTGGCCAATCCATTATGCGGGTATCTTCACTTTCCAGGAGCTACTCAACAGCATAAGTCCTGTGTGACCGTACATTGTGGTCCATAAAAACAAAGTTCAGTGAAATCCCGGAAAAGAAGCACATGGAGCAGGACAACTTCATCACAGTAATGATCTCCGATAAATGAGCCTCTGTCGAAAATGTAGAGTTTCGTCCGTCCGTTCCTCATAACGCCTCCCCATGCATGCACACCAGGACCAACCCAGTGGTCTCTTTCCCTCAATAAATTTCTCATCAATAAAGAGAACGTGACCCTATTGGTGAGGAGGCTTTGTATTTTCTAAACAACTGTAATGCCGCCACTTCTGACAGCCGCCAATAGGTCGTTGTAAATGGTATGCAGCGGTGGGCGAATAGACACTTTAAGAAGTGGTCTGGCCACAGTAAACCGGAAGCATATTTCATAAGTGCACATGAGCGTAGCCACTGCGGGAGGGGTTTCGAAAATGAACCAATGAGCTTCTATTGCTTTTGTGACGCTTAATTTTCGTGCATGTGAGGGTATGTTGTTTGTGTTTTAATTTGTATTTGTTTCGCAGTTATAAATGTATGACGTAATAGAAAAGAATCTCGTAGTGCTTTCGTTTTATGAGTTTAATTACTCGCTGACATCTCACTTTCGCGATTTTTATCACGCATTGATATTTGAATTCAAGTTCATGGCATATTGTCATTCTTTACATCGAGAAAATGACTCAAGCTACAATTAGCCTCGAATATTATGCATTTAATATTCAAGTGTATAGTTTTATTTTTATTGAGCTGAAAGGGGCTGGAAGCGTTACAATAAATCTAGTGTTTCCTTTTTTCAGTGCTTGCATTCTTTTGATTTTGAAAGTGTAAGATTCAGAATTCATATCGTGTATGATTTGATTATATCCACTGTTAACATTAAAAGTTATATGAGAATAAATTGAATATATTCGTTGTGAATAAGATAAATTCATTGAGTTTGATGAGTATTTCTTGTGTAGTCAGTACATTTAAGAGTAAGTAGTTATTAAATGTGAAATTTAACACATTAAATGTATACGAATGCAAATTAGTAAAGTTCACTTGGAATAAAATTCTGCGTTGGCTATTATTATAGGACATCTTTTTCATATAGATTATTATTTATTATCATATTACACATATAATTGGTGTAAATATTTTTCTCATATGCATAGTTTTATGTAAAAGATAGCATTTGGGCTCAGATGTTTATCACATATTTCTTTCTTCATCTTATTAAGTAATATTTCACATGGATATTTTTGCAGAGTATCCAACATGTGTTTGTACTTATTTCAAATTCTTCCAATCAAGTAGTGAAATCTTCACAATTGCTTATATTTGATCTAACTCTGCAATGAAAATTATCAGAAGAAATGAAACGATGCTCTAATTATTTTGTACAGAAAATTGCGCGGCAGAATATTTTCAACCATCTTGCTTAAATTTTAAAGCACGCGAAAGGTCCTGTGACATGACAGAAATATTACTGGATGCCGATTGGTCCATCCTAGAAGCCATTCCCTCGGTGGCTACATAGATGTGCACTTGTGAAATATGCAAACCGCAACACTTATCGTCCATTTGTTGTGGCAGATACTGAGCTATGTGTCTTGCTATCTAGTTTGGATCTCTCTTCACTTGCAGGGCGATATATCATTTATCAGCTACCACCTGTTTTCTTTGGCTCATAACCAACTACCTTTCTTACAGCTGTCATTTGGAAGGCTATTCAAGCTGGAGCAACAACACGTTTATAAATTATTGACTCTTGGGCAAAAGATGTCAAGCTTGCCAATCATTTTACCACGTATAAAGACATCCTGATGTTTTCTTGTATCCATACTTGCATGTACAAATTCCTTTTTAACTTGCGGAGAATGCCTGGAAACTTGCCTTCCCTTTCTCCACTGTGCGCGCTGACCCGTCGCGTTTTGCGTCTCTGACGTCATGGTGCTGATATCTGCATAAGCATCACATTTCTACTGAATTGGAATTTCATTTTACTGATCGCCCTTTTTTACAATTCATGCATGGTTGTACGTTGAAAAATGAATTTATTGCTTAAGTTTTGTACACTAGTTTATTTCACGATTGCACTTTTTTTTTTCAAAATTTTGTTTAATTTAATACAAAGCTTTCGAGTCTATTTTAAAAAGCGTATGCCCTAAAATCGTATGAGAATGGTTCAAATGAAACTTGGGCAGGACTGAATAATATATGTAGCGTAATTGGTTACTCTAGAAGGATTACAACGTGTGCAACTTTCTGACACTATAGGAATTCATTTGCTGCTTTCAAACATGTATCTTAACCTGGCACTAGTTTGTTTACACATTACGCATAGTAAGAAGAACGTTGTTGGAAGATCCTTTCAGTTACATTTATTCATTGTTTGGTTGAAATATTCTGCGGAACGTTTCTTAAAGATCGAATGCTCCGGCCATCATGGGCATAGCCAGGAGGCTGGAAACAACTTTAGATTCAGAAATTCGTCTGGAACTGGACTGGAATACCCCCGCCAGTGGTTAAGTGGAAAGACAGTTGAGTGATAGTAATCCGTCCCAAGAGTTAGAATCGCGGTGAACTGGCCAGTTGCATGAGTACTTTTGTGGTTTTTCTTAAGCATCCGTGTAAGATGAATACGAGAGAGTTTCTCTTAAAAACTCCTTTCTGAAGGCATCCCTTCCCTTTAAGTAAATAGCTATAATCTACTTAAAGTTTACCGTAAGCGCATAGAAGAATAAATAAACATTTGTCTTGAATATATGTGCAAATGGATTGTTGAAACTCGGGAATGAGGAACAAAGAGATTCCTGAACATTTTTTGTCTTTAACTTATGCAGAGGGATTTTACACATTTTTAGAATGATTTCGAGAAAGAATGAAAAGAAAAACAAATGATTTGGAACAAAAATTTCTAGAAATAGCTTCTTATTTAAAATCAGAAATATCCTCTGCTACTTTTAAATTTATTCTTCTTTCAAAATATCGCATGCAAATAAGGTGCTTCTGCGCTTTGGGAAGAAAAATATTCCTATTCTATAATTAAAACACCTGAAATGCATGGTATTAAAATCTCTAAGTGCAAAATAAGAAACGTTATTGATTGGAAAGGGAAAAACCACCAGTCATTACTTCTACATGGAAAAAAGGCTCCAGTCGAATATCCGAAAAGGTAAGTACTGTTTCTAATAATTCTAAAGTTAAATCATTGGTAACAAAAGAAAATCTACCGACGCAGAAATCAATTACAGAGTCTTTACATACATCTGTAGGCCCATCAGCGGCCAAGCGGTAAAAACCGCTAAACATTATAATAAATCGTTAGGAGCTTCAAGCCCCGGCGAACGGGTTAAACTGCATTGCTGTCTTCGTGTCGTTTTCCCCAAGTATAAAGTAGATACGAGACAGTTTTCTTTAAAAAGTCCTCCAAGGGCATCCCTCTGTTTTCGTGTAGTGCCTAATGGTTTAGCACGAAATAAATAAAAATACGTCTGCGTAGTAAAATAATGACCAAGATTTGAAAATTAAAAACTGACAAACATAATGCTCGCCAACATTTCCCGAGGCGTGTGGCTCAAAGCAGAAGAATTTGTGGATCCTTGTATGGTAAAGCTATTTAACAGGAGATAGATGAAAATACATCGTGACGATGTATTATCGATTTGACTGCAACAAAAAGTGGTGTGTTTATTATCGAAAACGGAGAGAAAAAAATATAAAAATATGGTTCGTCAATGCAAAGAAAGTTTCATCAAGATTGATTATCGCAGAATTCTCTTACAGTAAGAAATTAAAAATAAGAAAAGTGGAAAAATATGATAAACTCAACTCAACATACTATCAAGAGAAAATTATACAGCCGATATTTACTGAAGATATTCCAGCTCTTTATCCCAATGACTTTCAAAGAGTGTAACTGCATCAAGACAAAGCTACAAATCAGACTTCGAAAAGTACCAAAGCTTTCCTTGCTAAAAAAGAAAAAAAAAAAAAAGGAAGAAGAAGACCGATGCAGGTAATTGCGTGTATACTTTTTCAAGTATTTCTGCGAAGTCCCCTAATGTTTCAGCTTTGTCTTTCAAAAAGAGCTCTTTCTAAGCTCAAACTCACCACCATTGACAAATAATTGCCTCTCAAAAATACTCCAAAGTCAATAACGATTTATTAAGACTCCAAGTTGTTTAATAAAACACATTTATTAGACGTAAGCACATCGAAAC